GCGAGGGTTCGGCTTTCGCACGGTCAGCTCACACTCCTGCGACGGGCAGGCGAAAAAAAGTGCGCGGGAACGGGGGTAAAAAACGTTCAGATCACGAGACCAGGAATGGTGAGACTTTCCGTGAAACTCATCAGGGTGTTGCCGCGCATGCATGCAGAACGACAAGCGACAAGCGACGAGCGACAAGCGACGAGCGACAAGCGACAAGCGAAGAAAACGTCCCCCGACCCGACCAGTGCAGCCTGTGTAATTGGAGCAACCGGGGACGCACTGCAAGACCATAAGCGGAGTTGATAAGTAGGGATGGAAGGGAGGATACGTCGAGTTGACAAGAAAACAGCTTGTGAGAGCGAGGCAGCGCGCGAGCTCGTCTTACTTTGAGCAGCGCGGGCGTGTCTTCCGCCGTGCGACCTTTACTCGGCAACGAGTTGACCTATGAGTTGACTCAAGTCAACTCAAAAGTCAAGAGGGGCTCACCACAAGCTCGTACCTTTAGCAGCGCGAGCGTGTCTTCCGCCATGCGACCTTTACTCGGCAGCGCCAGTCGCACAATGTCGCGCTGGCGACTCCTTCCTGGTGTCGCCTGCGACGCTGCCGCGGCAAGGGCAATGAACGCGGAGGCACGGGCGACGTGAGGGAGAGCGGATGGTGGATGGGAAATGATGAACCACACAAGCAAGGGGGGTGTGTGTGGAGGGGGAGAGAGGGGCGTGTAGGGAGGCATAGACAAACACGTCTTATTTTCCCTCTTTTTTCTTCTTATCGACTCCGAATCGTATCCTCCGTGGTGTGTTCTGGAACTGGTTGGCGGGAGAGAGCGCCGAACGTCAGCAAGATTTAGGTCAGAAGTTTAGGGCTGAACTTAACAAGAAAACGGGATATTGTGACATGTTGCGAAGAAAACGTTTCGCGAATGGGCTGCGATCCTGCTTGCTTCTGAGTTACCCGATCGTGTAAAATGCCTCACGTGGCATTGTCAAACTAGGGTAGAAAATGGAAGCAACGACGCCCTTTTGCTGAACAATACAGGGTTTCAAAAAGAGGGACGAGGGAAGCGGAGTTTACAAGGGGAGCTGGTAGTCGCTGCTGCAGCGGCTGCGGCCGAAGCGCCTGCTGCAGCCTCGCAGCGCCATACAAGTCGGCCCTTAACATCGCGGCTCGGCGCGATGCGCACGACGACGGGAGCGCCTTTAATAGAAGACGACCCTTTGATCGCCGGCGAGGCGGCGAGCATTGGTTGCGGGACGGCCCGTCTAAGGACGCAGTTCGCCATGCTGCGGTGCGACGAAAGGGCCACGGACAACAGGGTAGCTATGCACCCTAGATACAAGCGACAGTGAGACGCTAAAGCCAGGAACCTCCCTAAAAAAGGGAATGCGCTGGTGGAGGTGGGAAGAGGAGAGGAAGAGAAAAGGTGGAGTGTATCTGAAGCAGGAAACTAAAATCCTCAGAACTTCCGCCCTCGACTTCGCGAAAGACCATGATACGAAAAAAAGCGACGCCTACGGTAACAGTCGATACGCTACTAGATTTTTCGTAAGGCGGTTTTGATAGCACCGACGAAAAGTGTAGAAGTCGCCGAGTGATGCCATTGGGCTGGGAGCAAGAAATCCGTGCAGCCAATTGGAGGGCCAAGCAAACTCACGCATCAGTGGGTGGTGTGTGGCCTGGCTGAATGTCTGCGATTGGTGGAACTCCAATTGTGGGCTGGGCTGAAACGAATCTCCTCGGGAATATCCGTTTGGCCCGAAACCACTGTTCGGTAAGGAAACATGTTCACTGGATAACTTATGCCTGTAAGATAACTGTAGAAGTATCAGCTATAATTGATCAACATCACAAACGAGACTGTCAGGAACGAGTACGAATCTATTATTCTTTCAACTCCTGCCATCACAGCAAGCAAGCTTTATCAGAGTTTCCAATCTTAGGACTGCGCCGTCCCGAACCCTCGCCAGCCAAGTATGCCCTCTGCTCCTGCCGATCCGATCCATGCATCCGCCGATGGGCTTCGGGTAGCCGTCCGATCAACGTGGCGCGTGGCGCACGGCGATTGGTCGTCCGTGTCCTACGTATCAGGAGTAGAGTGCGAGGAACTTGGAAACGCGGAACCAGGCGACGGGGAGTTGAATGGCGAGGAAGGCGGAGAGTGCGGCGGAGTGGAAGGCGGACGGGGCGGCGGAGTCTGCGGAACAGTGGAGTTGGAGCGAGAGAAGCAGTCGTCTGGTTGCGTCTTGTCATGTAGGCCTTCGGATCGCACCCTCTCGGCACTAAAGCTCGTTGTTTCCCCATTTTGTAGTCGACAAAAAAGCATGGATCGCACCCTCTCGGCTTTAAAGCTCGTAGTTTCCCCGTCGCTCTACATTTCCTCCTCAACCCACTCCGTTTAATCCCCAGCCAACGCGTTCTAACCTGCTTCTCCCCGTTCCCGCCCGCTCGTCCGCGTTTTGCCCCTTCCGCCGTTAGCTCCGAATCCTCCGCTTCTCTCTTCCCACTTTGTAAGCCCTCCGCCTCCCAAATCTCCCCTCCCCCTCCCTCTCCTCCCCCCACCTTCTCCCCCCCCTGCTCCCCCTCCCCCCGCCAGTGCTCTTCCCCACCCGCGCCGTCCGCCTGCACTCCCTCCACCTCGTCACCTCCGCGCGCTTTGCAGAGCTGTACGCAGCTCATGCCACGTGGCAGGGCGGCACGGGGCAGGTGGAGGGCGCACCGGGGGAGGAAGACCTGGGGGAATACGTGTGCACTGTCAGGGGGGAACCCGCGGGGGCTATTGGAGGGGAAGCGGGAGGAGCCGGAGGAGGGGGAGGGGGAGGAGGAGGAGGAGGGGGAGGCGGAACGGGAGGGAGAATGAGAGGAGTAGGGGGAGGAGAGGGCATCAACCGTCCTCCTCTCCACTCCCTCCTCTTGCAGGTCGCACCTCCCCCAGAAGCAGACGATTGCTGCGACATCGACTGTGGCTCCGAAGCAGAAGCAGCTTCGTCATCAGGCTCGGCAGCAGGCTCGGCAGCAGCAGCGGCAGGGGCATGCCTGTCCGACGCATGGCTCTCCTCGCTTTCTCTCAAGCTCCTGGGTCTCAGGGGCGCCTCTACAGTCACCATACACTCCATCACTCTCTCACTCTCCCCCGGTCCCTTCCTTCCCTCCTCTCTGCCTCACTCCACCCCTCCCGCAGCCGCTGCTTCATCTGCTTCTGTTTCAGCTGCGGCGGCAGCTGCTGGTGCTGCTGCTGCTGCTGCAGAAGGGGCAACAGCAAAAGCAGCTGCTGCGCCGAACCTCCTGCCAGGCCTGTCTCCGAACCTGTTGTCAATGCTGCCTCAAGAGATGCTGGCCAAGCTGCCTCCGAACCTGCCTACTGCTTTGGCAGGTGGCATGGGTGGCAGTGTTGGTGGTAACATGGGTGGTAACCTGAGTGATAACCTGAGTGGTAACCCGAGTGGTAGCATGTCATCAATGCTCCCTCTCCTCCTCGCGTCCCTTGCAGCTCCTTCCAAAACCCTCCGCCCTCCCCCTTCCTCCGCTCCCTCCCTTCCCTCCATTCCTCCCAACATTACCCCACACACTCCCCTCACTACTCTGTTTGCCCCTCCTCCTAAACCTCCTCCCTCCCGAGACCTCCTCTCTCACTCGCCTCTCCTCCTCTCTCTCGTGCATCGAGTGGAGCGGTTGGAGAGGGTGTGTGCCAGGCTGGAGGCTCAGGTGACAGGTGGCATGTCGCGATTGGCCACACGGCTGGATAAGGTCGAATCGAGCGTGCGTGTGATGCAGGCGTCTCATGCCCCCCCCACTGCATCTGCTTCGACTCCTGCTGCTGCAGCTGCTGCATCTGCCATGACAACTGCTGCTGAGACAGCCACTACAGTTGCTGCTACAGTTGCCGCTTCAGCTGCTGCTGCTGCTGCAGATGAATCAAGTGTTCGTGTGATGCAGGCGTCTCATGGCCCCCCCACTGCATCTGCTTTGACTCCTGCTGCTACAGCTCATGTTGAGGCACCTCGAATTGCTGAGGCTATGCATGCACTCCCTGCTACAGCCACTGCTACAGCCGCTGCTACAGCCGCTGCTACAGCCGCTGCTACAGTCGCTGCTACAGCAGCTACTACAGCCGCTGCTACAGCCGCTGCTACAGCAGCTACTACAGCCGCTGCTACAGCCGCTGCTACAGCCGCTGCTACAGCAGCTACTACAGCCGCTGCTACAGACGCTGCTACAGACGCTGCTACAGACGCTGCTACAGCCACCGCTGCACCCACCACGACAGCCCTTGCTACAGCCGAAGGTGCACCCAGCACTGCAGCTGGTGTTGCAGCAGCTACCAAAGACGCTGCTGCTCCAACTTATTTCTCAACCATGGCTTTCATGGGCAAGGGTGATGGGGCAAAGGAGGGGAGGGGGTTGGAAGGCACAGGGAGAAATATCAGGACTGAGGTGGGAATTGATGGATGTGATGGTGATGGCAGTGGTGATGGTGATGGCAGTGGTGATGGTGATGGCAGTGGTGGTGGTGATGGTGGTGATGGAGGTGATGGTGATGTCAGTGATGGTGGTGATGGCAGTGGTGGTGGTGATGGTGATGGTGGTGGTGATGGTGATGGTGATGGTGGTGATTCTGCTGCTGCGGCTGCTTCTGCAGATGCAGCGCCAGCCAAGTCGTCAGGAGCAGCAGCAGCAGCAGCAGCTGATACTGCTGTTACAGAATCAGAAAGGCAGGTAGCAGCAAATGCAGAGAAAGAAGCAGCAGCAGCAGCAGCAGCCGCAGCAGCAGCATCACCAGCAGCAGCAGCATTACCAGCAGCAGCAGATGCCAAGGCAGTCAAAAAGCAAGGGGTGGAAGACTTCCTAAAAGAGATACTTAGTCGGATGGAACAGCGGAAGCAAACAGAATCTCTTAAAGAGCCACAGGCTGCTGTGGTGCAAGGGGGGATGCTACCTTGATGGAAGTTATGGGGACAAGTGGAGTGGGGAGGGGTGAGAGCAGCAGTGGGAGGGGGGAGAGGAGAAGTGCAATGGAGGAAAGTGGGAATGAGGAGGATGGAGGGATTGGAGGGGAAGTGGGGGAAACGGCTTCTGAGTTTCCTCTAAGGAATGGTGAGGCTGACGACGAGGACAAGGAGGCTGAGCAAGTGGAAGAGGAGAGGGATGGATTGGGAGCAGAGGAGGGGAATGGGTTGGGAGCAGAGGAGGGGGTTGAGAAGAGTAAAGTGGAGCGTTGTGGAGATCTGCAAAGCTCACCTGAAGCAGAGATGAGGCAAGGAGGGGAGGCTGTGGAGGAAGCAGGTGGTGATATGGGGAGAGGTGCTGGGGCAGGTGGTGAGAGGGGGGGGTGTGCTGGGATTGGGACAGGTGGTGAAGTGCGAGGGGGGGGTGTGTGTGGGATTGGGACAGGTGGTGAAGTGAGAGGGGGGGGTGTGGTGGGATTGGGACAGGTGGTGAAGTGAGAGGGGGGGGTGTGGTGGGATTGGGACAGGTGGTGAAGTGAGAGGGGGGGGTGTGGTGGGAAGGGGGAAGTACAGTAGTAAGGGTGGAGGAAGGTCATTCGAGCAAAAAGCACTGCATTCGGGAGGAGCAGATGGAGAGTGGTCGGGTGGTGGAGAGTGATGGCGAGTTGTTACAGAAAGGAGGGGAGCCCTCGGAAGCAACAAAAACGGCAGAAGGGGGGGTTGGTGAAAGAGGGGTTGGTGAAAGAGGGGTTGGTGAAAGAGGGGTTGGTGAAAGAGGGGTTGGTGAAAGAGGGGTTGGTGAAAGAGGGGTTGGTGAAAGAGGGGTTGGTGAAAGAGGGGTTGGTGAAAGAGGGGTTGGTGAAAGAGGGGTTGGTGAAAGAGGGGTTGGTGAAAGAGGGGTTGGTGAAAGAGGGGTTGGTGAAAGAGGGGTTGGTGAAAGAGGGGTTGGTGAAAGAGGGGTTGGTGAAAGAGGGGTTGGTGAAAGAGGGGTTGGTGAAAGAGGGGTTGGTGAAAGAGGGGTTGGTGAAAGAGGGGTTGGTGAAAGAGGGGTTGGTGAAAGAGGGGTTGGTGAAAGAGGGGTTGGTGAAAGGGGTTGGTGAAAGAGGGGTTGGTGAAAGAGGGGTTGGTGGAGGAGGGTTTGGAGCAGAGAAGCAGCAAGGAGAAGGCATCTGTTCATATGTGCAGAAGAGACGTTTAGAGTAAGAAGACACCCTCCCATACCCAAGAAGCGTCGGAACGTCACTGGAGGGTCGGGTAGACTCAAATCAAAACGCGCCTACCGTTGTGTTGCCAGCAGCTAAAACAGTGACCCCCGTCCCAATTTACATAGCGAACGCTAATATCAGTAATGGAGTGTGGGACAGCAATGGTGTTGTTTGCGAGTCTGTTCAATATGTGCTTTGGTTACACAATGTGAACAGATACTGTGGAGAGTGATCAGGAGGTAGCACTGCTCTCTGTTCGGAGGATTATAGTCAGCGTTACAGTTACAAGTTGTAACGTAGCAACACAATATGAAACAAAGTGTGACCAACTGACCTACACTAACAAAAGAATGGCGGCAATTGGCCACCTGGTTAGAAAGAATAATGACGTCATGTCAAAGGCATCGTGTCACGCCATGTTAAAAAGAGTCATGTTGTCATGTCAGATGCAACGCACCACGACGCTCCGCTCTGCGTTCCCACCTCACGTCCCACATTCCCTTATCAGCTTGTGTTGCCGTGCTGCTGGTGCAATGCAGAAACCAACCCACCCCAACGGCTCTCTCCGTCCCCACTTCCCAACCACTCCCCCATTCCCGTGTCAGAATCAGTGGTGTTTTGCCCCCCTCTCCCCTACTCCCGTGTCAGAACCAGTGGTGCCCGGAGTCAGGCTGACGGCGTTTGCGCCAAGCCTGATGAGTGTTACAGTGCCTAACTATCATCACAATTGAAGCGAGTTGCAGCTTCAGGATTCACGGCTGTTGCACCTCACCGAGTCCACCACGCCTGCTCGCTGCTGCTGATTAAAAAAATGATCAGGCAGCGACTTCAATAAGGCAGGTGCACACCAAATGAGAACACATCTGCTCTTGCGTCGACTAAATAATGGACTCATCAGCTTGCTGCTGCTGCTACTGATTCAGAAAATGCTCAAGCAGCGACTTCAATAAGGCAGCTGCACACCAAATGAGACCGCCACGTCTTCTTGCTGCTGCTGCTGCTGCTGCTCCCACCTGGCACTCTAGTAGTCCTGCCATACCCTCTATTGCCCGGCTCGTTACAAAGAGTGTTTACTCCTGGGAGCTGTCAATGTCATCAATGTCGTCGAGATTAATCACCACAGGTGAGGATGGGCGCACGGCATGGGAAGCTGAAGCAAGAGGTGACACTAGTGGTGAAGCTGGCTTGAGAGCAGGTGGGGGATCCCGAACGTCAGGTGAAAAGCCAGGTGATTTCGGGAGAGTGAAGGCATCATCCCTCTCAGTCAGGTCAATCAGGTTCGCCGCTGCAGCTGGTGTGAACACTCCTCCGGCTGCTACTCCTGGTGCTGCTTTTCCTGGTGACATCATATAACCTCCATC